TAATTCCTCTTGCTGCACTTTCATGCGCATATTACATAAGATGTAATACATTTGCCACATCTGACCGCAATTTATAATGATGAGCATTTACTCCAGACACAAGAAATGCCAAATGGGAACCTTTGTCGGGTAATCTGAGTGGTATTACCACAAATTATACCTGTTATAAATTCATTAACTGACCATCAAGTGAATGATGACAAATACCTTGTGTAGGCTTACCACCAAACAATGGTTACAGCAAGAGAGTAGTAATTGCAGTATTGCATGCAAGTTTGATTGCCTGAAAAAAAACCGTATGGACCGACACTGTTTTGAGGATACAAAGGGAACTTCATTGTTGCATAAGAAATACATGTAAGCATTTGCTGTGTACTTAGTTAAAAACTGTATATACCTATGTACCTAAGTAACATTTCAGATTTTTGTAGCAATGGCAAAGTGGGGTTGTTTAGTTTATGGATTCAAATACATCAAATGTGTGTTTTTGATATCATAGCATAGGTAATAGACATCGTGTTTTGAAGTAGAAAACACATAAAAAAGATCAAATTGGATCAGTCACTGTACCATCCAAGCATTACCAAATCCCAAAAGCCTACACTGCTGGCATACTTTATTACAGTCAGAAAAGAACTACCGGGGATATTTTCAAATAACGGCATCTGATGGGCATCCACCCTTCCTAATGTCCCACTGTTTAGATTGAAGAAATTCTGCCAAGGTGCACAGTCCGTCACGGGGCTGGGGCTGACCAGGTTTCATAATTAGACTGTTGGCTGCAAACATTAATGGCTCTGGATCAGTGCCCCTTTAAAACACGCCATAACACCCACCAGGATGTAATATCATTTAGCTGGGCTGTCCTGCCATGAAACAGTGTTGTCATTCCAAATGGAGGTTATCAGCACATTATCAGTGTTGTAATTCCAAGTAGCACTGTTGCCATATAGCTGGATCTTAATACCATACAAAAAGAGTAGCACACCATTCAAAAAGGTTGTCCGATCATCAGGGTTTTCATATTATGATGAAAGATTGTCATACATCACAGAGGGCTTTTCATGCCACATCTGAAGGGTGTCATACCATACAGAGGGCTTTTCATACCATACAGAGGGATTGTCATACCATACAGAGGGCTTTTCACACCATACAGAGGCCTTTTCATACCATACAGGAAGATTGTCATACCATACAGGAAGGTTACCATACCATACAAAGGCCTTTTCATACCATAGAGAAAGGTTGTCATATCATACAGAGGCCTTTTCATACCATACAGGAAGGTTGTCATACCATACAGGAAGGTTACCATACCATACAGGGCCTTTTCATACCATACAGGAAGGTTGTCATACCATACAGGAAGGTTGTCATACCATATAGAGGCCTTTTCATACCATACAGGAAGGTTGTCATACCATACAGGAAGGTTGTCATACCATACAGGAAGGTTGTCATACCATACAGGAAGGTTACCATACCATACAGATGCCTTTTCATACCATAGAGGAAGGTTGTCATACCATACAGAGGCCTTTTCATACCATACAGGAAGGTTGTCATACCATACAGAGGCCTTTTCATACCATAGAGGAAGGTTGTCATACCATACAGAGGCCTTTTCATACCATAGAGGAAGGTTGTCATACCATACAGAGGCCTTTTCATACCATAGAGGAAGGTTGTCATACCATACAGAGGCCTTTTCATACCATACAGGAAGGTTGTCATACCATACAGAGGCCTTTTCATACCATACAGGAAGGTTGTCATACCATACAGGAAGGTTGTCATACCATACAGGAAGGTTGTCATTTTCATACCATACAGGAAGGTTGTCATACCATACAGGAAGGTTGTCATACCATACAGGAAGGTTACCATACCATACAGAGGCCTGTTCGTACCATACAGGAAGGTTGTCATACCACAGAGGAAGGTTGTCATACCATACAGGACTTTTCATACCATAGAGGAAGGTTGTCATACCATACAGAGGCCTTTTCATACAATAGAGGAAGGTTCTCATACCATACAGAGGCCTTTTCATACCATACAGGAAGGTTACCATACCATACAGAGGGATTGTCATACCATACCTGAAGGTTGTCATACCATACAGGAAGGTTGTCATACCATACAGAGGGATTGTCAAACCATACAGGAAGGTTACCATACCATACAGAGGGACTGTCATACCATACAGGAAGGTTGTCGTACCATACAGAGGGATTGTCATACCATACAGTAAGGTTGTCGTACCATACAGAGGGATTTTCATACAATACAGTAAGGTTGTCGTACCATGCAGAGGGATTGTCATACCATACAGGAAGATTGTCATACCATACAGAGTGATTGTCATACCATACAGGAAGGTTGTCATAACATACAGAGTGATTGTCACACCATAAAGGAAGGTTGTCATACCAGACAGAGTGATTGTCATACCATACAGGAAGGTTACCATACCATACAGGAAGGTTGTCGTACCATACAGAGGGATTGTCATACCATACAGGAAGGTTGTCGTACCATACAGGGGGATTGTCATACCATACAGTAAGGTTGTCGTACCATACAGGGTGATTGTCATACCATACAGGAAGGTCGTCATAGTACACAGAATGATTGTCATACCATACAGAGTGATTGTCATACCATACAGGAAGGTTACCATACCATACAGGAAGGTTACCATACCATACAGAGGGATTGTCATACCATACAGGAAGGTTGTCATACCATACAGGAAGGTTACCATTCCATACAGAGGGATTGTCATACCATACATGAAGGTTGTCATATCATACAGAGGGATTGTCATACCATACAGGAAGGTTACCATATCATATAGAGGGATTGTCATACCATACAGTAAGGTTGTCATACCATACAGAGGGATTGTCATACCATACAGGAAGGTTACCATATCATACAGAGGGATTGTCATACCATACCTGAAGGTTGTCATATCATGCAGAGGGATTGTCATACCATACAGGAAGGTTGTCATACCATACAGAGTGATTGTCATACCATACAGAGTGATTGTCATACCATACAGGAAGGTTACCATACCATAAAGAGGGATTGTCATACCATACAGGAAGGTTACCATATCATACAGAGGGATTGCCATACCATACAGTAAGGTTGTCATATCATGCAGAGGGATTGTCATACCATACAGGAAGGTTGTCATACCATACAGAGGGATTGTCATACCATCCAGGAAGGTTGTCATACCATTTAGAGCGTTTTTCATACCATATGGGAAGGTTTCCATACCATACAGGAAGGTTGTCATACCATACAGGAAGGTTGTCATACCATACAGAGGACTTTTCATACCATACAGGTAGATAATCATACCATACAGAGGGCTTTTCATACCAAACAGCAGCGCTTTTCTACAATGGTGGCATACCACAACAAGAGCAGATTGGGCATCTCACCTCCCAAATACTGCTATAACACAATATGCAGAAACAAAGACAGAAATGATGGTGATTGTATGATTGTTTATTTCAATATCCAACACCTGACGGATCTTTGTAATTCTCATGAAGAGAAAACCTCACTGGGTGGTTTGAACTCCAGTTTACAACATACAAAATTAACATTTTAATTTCATTACATATCTTTTTTTCTGTCCCTTTAAGTCAATCTAGTATGCACATAGAAAATTAAATACAGAGAATTCGGCTAGTGACGAGGGGCTGACCCCATTATGGTACACAAAAATAATTCACATCTATACAACAGGTAAAAACATAGAAAACATGGCAGCAGTAGCAGTGATAGTGGACACAAGGCACACATGGTCGGTCCAGTGTCACTTGATCCATACACAGTACAAAATACATGTAAATATAATAAGGTACAAAGTGAGAATGGCAACTCATCACCTAAACCCAGGCCCCACAATGCATCAATGTGAGAAATGACCCAAATCAAGGCCGCACATTACATGTGTGGCCCAAATCAAGGGCTCACATCCCACCAAACTGACATGTGTGGCCCAAATCTAGGACTCACATCCCACCAATGTGACATGTGGCCCAAATCTAGGTCCCAGATCACACCAACCTGACATGTGGCCCAAATCTAGGACTCACATCCCACCAAACTGACATGTGGCCCAAATCTAGGTCCCAGATTCCACCAAACTGACATGTGGCCCAAATCTAGGCCCCACAACACATCTATGTGACATGTCACCCAAACCTAGGCCCCACAATACATCGATGTGACATGTCACTCAAACCTAGGCCCCACAGCACATCGATGAGACATATCACCCAAGTTTATAATATATATGCCTTGTCATACCTTGCAGCTTAGTTTTTTGACAATTTCGTAAGACATATGCTATTATTTGTTGAACCTTCCATTTGTCAACTGGGGCAGTGGGGTAGCCTAGTGGTTAAAGCGTTGGCTCGTCATGCCGAGGACCCGGGTTCGAATCCCCACATGGGTACAATGTGTCAAGCCCATTTCTGGTGTCCCCCGCCGTGATGTTGCTGGAATATTGCTAAAAGCGGCGTAAAACCAAAACTCAGACAGTCCATTTGTCAACTATCAACAATGGCATGCTCAGATCTTACTGTCAGTGACATGTGACCAAGCTCAGATCTTACAAGACTGTTGGTGTGACATGTGACCAAGCTCAGATCTTACAAGACTGTTGATCTGACATGTGACCCAAGCCTAGATCTTGCAAGACTGTTGGTGTGACATGTGACCAAGCTCAGATCTTACAAGACTGTTGGTGTGACATGTGACCAAGCTCAGATCTTACAAGACTGTTGGTGTGACATGTGACCTAAATTTAGATGAGTTGAGATGATTAATGATTTGGGATGACACTGTTATAGTAAAATATGTAATGCATTGATATCCAGATGTAGGCTATGGCTGGATGTTATGAATGTTTAACAGTTTCTTCAAAACAGATATCCAGATGTGAACAAATTCCTTAAAAATTCCTCTTTTTAAAACATACTGTGATTTCCCCACTCGACAACATTCATTCATTTATTCACTCACTAACTCATTTATCGGTCAATCCATGTTACCTCAACTTCTACAGACATTCACAGATTCCTCCAAATCTCAATCAACCAATCAGATCAACCACCCAATCAAATAAAACTGTCAGAAATAACAACTTGATAAAACTAGAACATAACCTACTCTGGATAAGAGTTTCAAAGAAAACAACAATAACAACAATGATGTTTACATGGGATGTTAACAGTAAATGCACTTGGAAATCTCAGCTCACAATACAAGTCACCGTAAAAACCCCATCTTGGGGTAAAAGAACATGATTGAAGCACCATTTAGGACCATAAGTTCAAGGCTATCAAAATATAAGATATAACTGCAAAGTTTAAAAATATTGCCTTGTTCAGCATCAAGCATATTGCAGTTTTACTTTATGCATGGGAATATTTTTGAAAAGGTGAAAAAATATCGGCACAAATGAAACATGCTGCCAACAACTCATTATCTCTGTCCATGGGTGTGGTTTGGTGAGTAGCTCCACTCAACATAGCACAACTCATTATCTCTGTCCATGGGTGTGGTTTGGTGAGTAGCTCCACTCAACATAGCACAACTCATTATCTCTGTCCATGGGTGTGGTTTGGTGAGTAGCTCCACTCAACATAGCACAGCTCACCAGAGGAAAAGGCTGGTCTCAGTCTCAATATTCTTCCACTGCATAAAGCATATAAAATAGTGTGTAAAGGTAGCAAAGAAATATCTGAATGGCAACGGAACACATGGGTGAGACTAGGTAGTTGTAGAAAACACTCAATTCAGTCGGCTTACACAAACCAAATGAGACATATCCACAAATGCGTTATTGGACAACTGTGTCATGTTCAACACTGGGATTAGAGCAGCATGGAAATAACTTGGAAGCTGGTGTGTTTTACTTCTAAATTTCGGAATATCATGTGCAAACATGTAATAAATCAAATATTGCTTTAAAGTCCAGTTAAATATGACTGCATATCAAATTACTTACTAACAGGACTATTGTCAAATGACAAAGGTACACTCACACAATTACACTAAAGTGTTAGGATACATATCCATAAGGCAACAAAGAATGCCATCAAATCAGTAAAGAGTAAACTTTGATCAATTTCTAATATAAAAATACAACATTACCTTTTAAGTATGAAAATATTTGTTCAACATGTTTCTTTGTAGTCATTTATATACACATATTCATTCTGTTGAAAAGACTGAAAAAATACACAACATTAAAATATCATTCTTGAACATCAAAAATAAATTGCTACATTTATTCAGTATATGACTGACATTAACTTTATTATTTTCACAAGAGCACTTGGACAAACAAATTAGCTGGATTTGATCCCAAGATTAGTCCACAATTGGCACAATATGTAACAAGAAAATCTGAATGCTGAATCCAGCATGAGGTGTCTAGAGCAAGTGCTGCTAGGGTGTCGGATGGCACTATGTGAGGGTTTCTGAACCCCCCAGGCACCCCTCCACAGACCATGCTTGACACAACCTTCAGATCCCCCAATCCCCAGGTGTATCCACAACATAACTCTGGGCGGTTTAATCAAGCAAATAACAAAGTTTAGGCACTTTAACATGTCTTTAGCAGCCGTGGGCTGTTTACACACTGGAAACGTTTATTATCTGTTTCAGTCATTTTGATGAAATTGGGTAAGCTCAGCACTTCAAGGTATGAGTCTCTGTGAGCTGCACATGTACACAGAAGCATGTGATCCTTGTACAGTGCCATCATGTAATGACACATGTATTTTCTTTCCATCATTGTTTTCTGTACTTGGGTTCAGCCTGGATCAAACAGTACAAGCAGCTGTGTAAATCTATTGAACCATCAAATAACAACTTATCCACAACTGTCCAGCATAAGATGCTAGCCTCTCTTTTATACACATACATATCTAGTGATCACTAAATCAGTGACAATCAGCTGTACAGAAACCTTCAAAACTTATCTGCCATTTTATAAAATTAGGCCGACCTGGTGAGGTCAAATGTCAGTGAATGACCTTGGGTAACAGTGGTTTTGCCTTCAGGCAACATCCTTTCTCAGTTTCTGCTGCCAAAGTCAAATCTGTAACCTTGACCTTGAGATCACAAAAGTGTCCTTGATAGGTCAAAACTGCCACAAATGACCTTTGTGTTCCTTTTCAGTCATCATCCTTGTCCTTCTGTGGTTTGATATCACATGCTTCAAACAGTTCTTCTGGAGTGTAGCCCAACAGACTCTGGAGGTCACACACAAAGCGATACACATAGCGTTTTCCTGCCGTCTTATGAATGATATTTTTTGTCATAATAGTAGCGCAACCCACGACTTAATTTTTCATAGTTCATTTTTGGCTTGTTTTTTCTGATTCCCCACCTCCGTGCTACCTCATCCGGGATCTGCCAGTTTGAATTCCCAGCCATCTCCAGTCCAGCTGATGAAGTGTTGGCATGACTTGTCTGTGAGAAGCTCCAACAGAAATTGCCACAACTGGATTGGGCCACTTCCTGTCAACAGATATAATTATAACCTCTTGTAAACAAAAGAGAAAACAAATTTCTACAATAGATCATCATCTAGCTGAAAAGTTTTTCTGATGTCAACAATGCCTAAGTCAGAATCAGATGTACCTAGTATGCGAGCAATCCTAAGGTGTGTCTTGACAAAGTTTAATACAACCTTGTCACACATATGTCCTGTTGTAGAAGTGATGGTGTGAAGACAGGTTGGTGACATTAAATTCATTACCCCTTATGCGACAATCAAAATGTCGTCATAATCTCTGGAATTTAAAGATAGTGTAAACTGAAATATAATTGGTCAATAAAAATGAAGCTTTTTTATGAGGTGTGTTAGCGCAGACTATAAAAGACATCATGTTTTCCTTATCTCTGTACACTTAGAAAACATAAGGCTACTTCTCTATAAATATGCACATTAGGTATGCAGTTAGAGACACAGCTGAGCTATATTTAAAATATATGACATCAGTTGTCACAGAAAATGACTTAACATCTTTCTACCTCCACATCAGCATTCCCCCCCGTAAACAGTCTGACATTAGGATGGCTGCTGTCTGTACTATCAGTTTCAGTTATGACTTTAGTGTCATTTTCATTGCATATCTGTTCCTCTTGTCCACACGCCTACTTAATTTGTCTAAATGTTCACTTCTTAACGGCCAACAATCAGGAAGCACAACTGTGAGACATGTCACCAGGTTTCTGAGGCTACTCAGAGCTCTTGCATAATCTGACCACATGGTACTAATATCTGGACTGGGAGTGAGTGTTTTGGTCTTTGTAATACCCACTAAATATTCCAGGTGACAACATTCTACATTTCCTCCCTCAACTACATTTCAGTATTTTAATCATTATTATTTTTGTTATAAAACATATTCACAGGTTAGAACACTGTGAACTATATAAAACATATCATTCACAGGTTAAAACACTATGAACTATATAAAACATATCGTTCACAGATTAAAACACTATGAACTATATAAAACATATCGTTCACAGATTAAAACACTATGAACTATATCAAATAAATGATTCACAGGTTAACACACCTTGAACTATATAAAACTATATAAAATACATGATTCACAGGGTGGCACCACTATGAACTACATAAAATACATGAGAGGTTGCACCACTATGGACTATATAAAATACATGATTCACAGGTTGCACCACTATGAACTATATAAAATACATGATTCAGAGGTTGCACCACTATGAACTATATAAAATACATGATTCACAGGTTGCACCACTATGAACTATATAAAATACATGATTCAGAGGTTGCACCACTATGAACTATATAAAATACATGATTCAGAGGTTGCACCACTATGAACTAGCATTGTGCAGTATGATCTACCATCTCACCTGAGTACCCTGCAAGGGCTGCTGCCTGGATCATGGGTTTCCCTGTGTCTACACTGCCAGAGTCAGAACCTCCTGACTGGATGTTTCGGAAACCAACAGGAGGCAGGCTAGAGCGATGGTCACTTCCTGACCAGCTGTCACTGACATCTTGGCCATACTCTTGTGTTGACCAGGGGATCTCTGTTTTTATGCTGGGCACTGTTTGGTAGGACTGCTGGTCATAGTAGTCCTGTGGTGGAGTGTCGGGCAAGTACTGGCCTGCAATATGCCACATTTGAAAATATATATCACATCAATAGTTGGCAACACAACAAAACTGGAAAATGATTATTTTAATCTGAATAGCTGCCAATATAAAACACTGCACTTTGTGGACATGAAAACAATTCAGGCAGGTCTGTAAAACCAAGCAGACAGGTAAAGTAGGTGTTGACATTTTCTATTATTTCAGTGGATGAAAAATATCTGCTTTTAGCAACATGGTATGAAAATGGGGAAGTGTGTAGCTATATGGCAGTGATGAAGTGTGTGGGACATCCACAACGTGATGGTCATAAACCTCCACCAGACAACCAGACTGATGTACAAGCACCTGCTAGACCTCTCCACAAGGTTGTGTCAGAATCAGTGTAGTTGACATTATTATTTGCATATGCAGCAAATCATAAATACCTAAAAACTTTCAAACCATTTTAGGTGATGACTGTGCTGAAGTTATTTCTTCCAAGTTTCAAACGTAAAGTATTGGAAGCTTATATGTAGAACCATATGCGATAAATGGGTTCCGTTGTAAATCCCTGTTTCTGAAAACAGATTGACACCTTATGTGGTACCTATTAAATTTCCCATTTTTCCCAAGCCATTGATGTTGATATAATGTGATGCACTTACTGGGAAAATCCTGCCAGCAATGTTTTTCTAGAATGAGTCGTATGCCTTGTTTGTTGTGAATGTATAGCGGAACAGAGGAATCACCTATAGTCTGCGGCAGTGTTGGCTGTGATCAACCAAGCTTTGTTTTTCTACTCTGCCTGGATCTCTTCAGTGGGCTATATTTATTCTTATTATCTGCCCTTGACTCCAACCTCCCCAGTCAACGAGTACAAAAAATATATGGTAACTATGGTAACAGAATTAGCAACAGACTGACATCATGTACAATCAAAATGTAGAAATTAAAAAAGTGAGCAGTTGTTCCACCACCACCTTCAGCTATAGACATACAAGTGCTGTAACTTCTCATCCTGTCACTGGATCAGGATCACAGCTACCCCTGTCTATAAATAAAGCCCTCTCCTCATCAAAACACAATTTATAACCCGAATTGAAGCAGTAGTTGGTTGCATCTTACAGAGTAAACAGGCAAATTACAAGAAATAGTGTGTGACTTGGCAATGGTTCCAAAATTTTCCAATTTGTATGCTTGACTATACATGAATTACCACTAGAACAGGGAAACTGACACTCTGTTCCAGATGTGGCAACTTGACTTGATCTGTTGTGAAATTGCGGCCTCTTGGAATAAAAAACACAATCATTCTCTAATTGTGGTGGGTGCAGACAAAAGGCGTGTTTAGTTGCCTCCAGATGTGGTCTAGTTCGCCATGATTTGTATACCGTACTGGAATAAATGTAGGAGGCAGAATCATTTAATGGGCCTGGTTAGTCAGAATCCCTTAGTGGACCTGAGTCAGTTAGCCAGAATCCCTTAATGGGCCTCAGCCATTTAGCCAGAATCTCTTCGGGGACCTCAGCCATTTAGCCAGAATCTCTTCGTGGACCTCAGCCATTTAGCCAGAATCCCGTCATGGGTCTCAGTTGATTAGCCAGAATCCTTTTATGGGCCTCAGCCAGCTAGCCAGAAGCTCTTCATGGGCCTCAGCCAGCTAGCCAGAAGCTCTTCATGGGCCTCAGTCAGCTAGCCAGAAGCTCTTCATGGGCCTCAGCCAGCTAGCCAGAAGCTCTTCATGGGCCTCAGCCAGCTAGCCAGAAGCTCTTCATGGGCCTCAGCCAGCTAGCCAGAAGCTCTTCATGGGCCTCAGCCAGCTAGCCAGAAGCTCTTCATGGGCCTCAGCCAGCTAGCCAGAAGCTCTTCATGGGCCTAAGCCAGCTAGCCAGAAGCTCTTCATTGACCTCAGTCAGCAAGCCAGAAGCTCTTCATGGGCCTAAGCCAGCTAGCCAGAAGCTCTTCATGGACCTCAGTCAGCAAGCCAGAATCCCTTAATGGGCCTCAGTCGGTCAGCAAGATACCTGATGGTTCTCAGCGTGTAAGCTTTTTCAACCTGTATGTGTTTAAGTAGCATTTTGTGGAATATATTATGAGGGAAAATAATTCCCTCATAGGTGGATGGAACTGAGGAAGGTGCTTGTTGACCAAGCATCCACTGGACTCCTCTGTGGAGCTCCTTCACCGGCTACAGGTGTATGTAAACTACGGTATTGTAATGTCACGGCCTGTGTTGGTATATCACTGCATATCAAGTTGTTGGCAAGATTAGCGTCAGTGCTGAGAGTGCATCATTGGCATTGGTCCAACTTTCTCCCACCATTCATGCCAGCCTTCCCTCCTTGCTGCCTTACTATTACACTGCCTTCCCCTTCTTCACAATCTACACTCTGGTGCTTACAGATCTTGTGGTGATCATTCTGCTTGTCTAGAGGGACATTTTACTCATTTCTTAATTCAAGCTGAATCGGTACTTAATTTGTTGGCAGGTAGGTGCAGGAGATCAGATGGTTGTAGTAAACACCTTAAGCTCCTGTGGTAGCCATGGGATGTTCACACTGAGAAGAGCAGCACCGGAGAAGTCGGGCTAGCACAACACTATCATACACAGTATCACACAACACGATCATACTCACTATCACATAACACTATCATACACAGTATCACATAACACTATCATACGCAGTATCACACAACACTATCATACACAGTATCACACAACACTATCATACATATTATCACACAACACTATCATACACAGTATCACACAACACTATCATACACAGTATCACATAACACTATCATACACAGTATCACACAACACTGTCACACACAGTATCACACAACACTATCACACATTATCACACAACACTATCACACACAGTATCACACAACACTATCACACAACAGTATCATACACAGTATCACACAACACTATCACACACAGTATCACACAACACTATCACACATAGTATCATACAACACTATCATACACAGTATCACACAACACTATCATACACAGTATCACACAACACTATCATACACACTATCACACAACAGTATCACACAACACTACCACACAACACTATCATACACAGTATCACACAACACTATCATACACAGTATCACACAACACTATCATACACAGTATCACACAACACTATCATACACAGTATCACACAATACTCATATGCACCTTACCATGTGGGCCATGTAAGCAAGCTATGCAGTAACACAGCATTATACACAAGCACTGTGGCAGAAACATATTAATTCATGCATATAAACAGTTGGTATACTTACGCTCAGGACGCAGAAATAGTTTGATATACTCAATAAAGGTATACAGAAATAGTATGATTGCAAGGTTTGCAGAAAAAAGAATTACACAAAACAGAGGTATCATCCACCACATGCTTGTAAATCTGCAACAGTTCCTGAAAGACTTTGGTGTACATACCAGGTGTCGTACATACAGAATTTCAGCCTTAAACCAGCAGCTGCACACAGCTGATAATGATGCTTATGAAATGATGTGAATGTTACTTGCATTCAGAGTCGGGGTGAGTGAATTAAGATTGTTCGTCACATCAGCAGTGTGTCAGCCATATTGTGACTATAAAAAGGTTATGCTTAAGAATCAGACAATATTCACACTTGTCTCATGAGGTGCAACACATCAATGAATGCTGATAAAGACAGAAGTCCTACCTCGACACAGGTTCTTGGCGTGTAGACTGGTGGGTGGGCGGAACTTCTGCTCAGGCATCATAGGGTAGAAATCAGTAGGGCTCTGGTCGTAGTAGCTGCTGTGTTCCAGACTCTGATAGTCTGATGTGTCCTCATAGCTGCCCCCTCCTCCTCCTCCGCTGCTCATGTCATTCAGTGTCTGCAGAGACTCTGAGATCGGGTAGGAACCTGTGATACAATATTACACATCATAAACACTTACAGTACCTGCATGTTACATCTAGCTTGGAGCATTCACAAAATACAGAACTGTAATATAAGTATCACGAATCCATTAAAATGAAATGATCAGGTGTTTCTTCACTAAACATTTTCCTACAATGTCCTAATTACACTGTTTTTGACATGAACAGAGGTGGGTTGAAATGGGGTAGGAGAGGAATGATTCCTAGTGCTCTCTGCAAATGAATGGAGCTATTGTCAAGCTGTACAACATAGCTGTCGCACTGAGACAAACTAAGGATTACTTAAGTCAAAACATTTATGCCTCCTTAAACAGCACAATGCTAGCTGATGTTTACCAAAATAAATACGAATTTTGTATTTCGTTTCTGCTGCTAACTGAAAAGATGTACGGACCTTCCATGTAGCTGTGAGACGTGGACACCGGCGGAACGCTGCCACCTTCAGAGCTGCTGTAACCTGCAGGACAATATCAGTGTTACATCCAACCTTATGATGACACTGCAGGACAATATCAGTGTTATACCCAGCTTGATGACACTGTAGGACAACATCAGTGATATATCCAATTTAATGACGACACTGCAGGGCAATATCAGTGTTATATCCGATTTAATGATGGCACTGCAGGACAATATCAGTGTCATACCCAGCTTGATTATGACACTGCAGGACAATATCAGTGTTATACCCAGCTTGATGCGATGTAAGACAACATCAGTGATATATCCAATTTAATGACGACAGTGCAGGGCAATATCAGTGTTAAATCCAATTTTATGATGACACTGCAGGGCAATATCAGTGTTATATCCAATTTAATGATGGCACTGCAGGACAATATCAGTGTTACACCCAGCTCGATGACTACACACTGTCAGCAGAGTTAGTTCATGCAACATGGAAACCTCTAACAACTCAATACATCACAGTAGCATGCATTACTGCCACTGCATGTGGGTTTGCTCTGCATTCTTCAGGGTATATATTCATTTTCTGATAATAATAGCATGCACACTATATGAATATGAAAGATAGCCAACTGTTTTCAAAAGTTACAAGTATTTTGTTTCAGGCAGATATGAAGATGAAATGCTTACTTTGCTGATTGTGCTGGTGATAACGTTCACCAAACTCGGGCATGCAAACTGGCTCACTGTAATTTGGTGGTACGTTGCACAACAGTGACCTCTCTTGAGCAACTTCTGTAACACAACAACGCAACAGTAAACTACCTCTACTGCCTCTGTAGTAATGACACTATCTGCCTATACCTGGCACACGGGTACACTTGGCAGTCGTGTACGTAGTGGCCACAGAGGGGTACTGGCTACTGTTCTTTCATGTACTGATAGTGCAACAGGCAACACACCGACAACAGGTCAATCCAATATCACAACAGCAGTAATCAAAGTAGTAATTAATGTCACATCAAATCAAAATGCATGAAAAAATGGGGAACATGTCATGTATATAAGAGTTTCCATCTATTATCTTTAGCAAATTTCTTACAGGTACATATGTCATATTTACCTTTCTGTAGAATGTCTAAATGTTCCCATAAGATATCGCCAACAAATGGTGGACAGCGACTAAGGAATTCTTCTTTTTCCATTTTACAGAGATCAGCTCCCTTCACCGCAAAGTTGGCCATGTTAATTCCCTCCAAGCTGAACTCCTGCACTGCCCAGTTCAACCACTGCACCACATGGAGGGGGGACCACTGCATGGGATCTACAACAAAAGTTAGCAAACATCAAGTCAACAGGACTTCACCTTTCCCACTATATAGTTACTACATAAAGGAGAAATGTGAATTAACTACTTACATATATTTCATCATGTCAAACATATATGTACATCCTCACTGTCCAAGAAACTCACTTCAAGCAATAGATTTCTTGGGGCATGTTCAATTTAGTTTACTAACTTGACAAAAAATCACTTAAATATGACCTAATCTGATGAACATATTCTTGGAACACTCAAGATCTCCCATAAAAGTAGGTGACAGTTATTCCTTGAAGATCTACAGTATCAACTAACCCCAAGTTGCCTGAAGCAGAGGCTGAGCATACAGGCAGTCTCTCATGTTGCCTGGTCAGTGAAGCCTTGCTGTCACCACACTCTTGCACCGAACTAACTAACACTGCTACCTGTGTTCCCGCTCAAACACTCGAGGTGTGCTGGCTTCACACTGCCTGCAGGCAATCTTATATACCCACACCAGCTCCGCTAAATTGACTTATTAATTAGTAATGAGTTGGTGTTCAACAGTTGAACTATAAATAGAGCTCACATCATCAATATTCTACGTATTTCATACAGGCTGAGAGCTGGTTGACAATTACAGGGATGAGTTCTTCTGCTTCTCTCTGGGGAATATGCCAGTGTCAGGTATTACAAGTTCTTACAGCTAATCTGCCTTTCACTATTCAACATGACTCTTAAATCTCCAGGCATACAACCAACTTGTACATACCGGTAAATCATACTGTTCAGTGATGTACAAATGATTAGTGAAACCTCTATAATGAAGTCTTCAGCTGTAAGAAAGTCCAATATGACTTGTTACATGTGAAAATGTGATCCCTTTCCCGTGTCCACCACATACAAGAAAACCCTACCTGTTCCCCTCAAATACATGTCTCATCATCAAGTCCTGCATGGAAATCACCATCATTTAGTTCACATCAATCAAAAAGCAAATATCTCAGTTACAGTGTGAGCAATTAGTGAAATGGAGTACACGGAATTGCCAGTGCCCTTGTGCCCACACTGGAAGGAAAATAATCCCCTAATCCTACAATTGATTATGTTTTTTTATTGGGATTTATTTGCAAAGGCATGCTCACTAGCTATCAGGTGCCCTGAAGATCCCTCTTGTCCACCTTTTTAATATCAAAATGGACTCATGTGACCAGGTACTAAATTGCAATCATTTTACCTTGCGCTGAAATATGTGTATATGCCAGGATTCAAGCGACCTGGGGTCTCCCAAGTAACGAACAGGAAATCAAAAACTTCCGGTGTAACTCGGAGACAGACGGCACCTAATAGCGGTGGCTGCCCTTTATATGCTAAACATCACTGCCATCATCTGCTCACTAATTTGGGATATTGCTCAAATTATTGTAATAGAAAACAATTCATTGTCACAAGTATCTAAAATCTGTTAATTTCATTTTGTGTCTTTGTTGTCTGCTATTGTTGGCGGTCCACACCAAACTGAACCACTGTTTGATATTGATAAATATTAATACAGGAAGCTTAATGTCGGGCTTTGATTTCAATTACATAATTTGTAACACACTTTGATACCATGCCAATTAAAATGCAATATCCTTGTGAATTTCAACAAACCAGAACCAGATATGGTGATTAATTATTAACACTTATTAAAATGAATCCCAATCTGCAATGGAATATCTAATTATCGTCAACAAATGTCAGTTTTCTTCCAATGCACTGAATTCTTGAACAGGTAGGAAACTGTAAAATTGAACTTATCTAAAATGTCACTAAATTCATAAATAAATAGACTGGGTTTTTTTCCTGATTGCAGTGCTGTAGATAACTAGCTAACGATGTGCTTACCTTTTGGAATATTGAGTCTAGTTTGTTCCTTCTCAAAAGCCTTGAAGCTCTCAATTAGGGCCTGTGACATTTTCTGTGTGGTGCCAGGGGTGAGAGGGGGGACTTGGGAGGAGGGTAGATCTGAAACAAACATACACCATACAGCAAACTGGCTCAGTAAGACAAGCCATCACACTCACAGAAACAGACCCTTTGACAGCACGCAGCAGCAGCAGCAGCAACAGCCGTTTGAACATAATGAAGCATACACTCAACTGAATATGAGAAGTAGAATTGATTTTATTTCCATCAAAAAAAGATCTGTGATACACCTATTAATATGATAACAAATCAGTAATGCAGCATGGAAATATATTCATGTGTGCCTGTCTGACGTGACAAGGTGCATGGTGTGTACACTGGACATCATACACATGGATCAGTTACTTTGCTCCCCTATGGCACGGGATTAGGATCTTGTTAACTAAGCTAGGCTGACCTATCAGTGGTAAAACTGACTGGTTTGTAAAGAAATATTTGTATAAATAGAACAAGATGTGCAAGGTATAAAGATGTAGGAGGCAAGTAGCTTCACAGAAAGTTAGCTCGGTGCTGGAATAGACCTGATGCTCAGCACATGTGAGATAGTTCTCTCAGCCTCTCCTGTGTTCATGCCCATCTATCAGGCTTCAGACAGCAATATAAGCACAAACTGACCCCGTTTACAAATGGCTGTAAACAGATCTTTAAAGAGTCCTCCCAGTAATTACATTTTATACCCATGCCCTGGTTCGGGATGGAAATCTAATTAGCATTAATTGACAGTAATTAGGGAGCCATCGTTAGACTGTTAGATGTTGAGAAGGAAGATGGTTAAGATGGCCAACACATAAGGTAACATAACTCAACAGCTGGAGAGGTGGAGAGGAGGTGGAGAGAAGGCAAGTACCAGGCTGCATGTGATTCCTGGACCTTCCTTCTCACACCTATACTCTCTCCTAAACACACTCCTTAGACATTTCCTCCATATCTACACACAAATACATGCAGGGGCCAAAAAACCATTTCTAATCTAATCTGAAGAACATCTTTGTGGTAAAGAGGTTATTCATGAGTTGAATGGAAACTTGTTATGAAGTTAGTTTATAAATCTCTTTTCAGCCTAGAGGAAAAAATGCAAAAAACTTATTGTAGAATTGTAATGAAGTGTGTAACTAGAAAATGAACGATTATTGTGCTGAATGTTTCCATGCAGCTTTTGCCTATTTTAAAACAAATTATTTTTGAGTCTGTATTTCACAAAAAAGACACATTTGTATTTAATTCAAAGTGAGATCTGGCTCCCCGTCAGTGGTAGTTGTCAGTTGTCTTTTTCTCCCATATGAATCAACTTAAGCATGGACAGGTTTAAAACCAATCAGAAGAGTTTCCGCATCTGGGCTTTCACTCCAACTCCAGCCATTCATAACTAGGGGACCCTGTAAAAGCCATTGCAGGCTGGTGCACTCCACGGATGTGAGCCTGGGCCTCAGGGACTCCACTTATCTCGCCAGCAAATATAAACAACACACGAAACCAACTGTACCTACATACCGCCTCCACAGACTACAGGAAGTAAACCTCTCACCATGATAAATGCATGCTAAGTCAAAATAATCACATCACAATTAACATGCTTTGAAAACATGTTTCTCGATATCTTTTGAAACTCTTAATTTCTGCATTATGAACTCAGACTAATACATTAGCATGAACCTTTTTAAAAGAAAAAAAATACACCCTAGTCCCAGAGATGGGATGCGAAAATGGGACAGACAGGCATGTTTTTTCCTAGTAAATTGGGACCATTTGGCACAGGATGTCAAGTAAGACAGAAGGGCTCATTAAGATTTTAAATTTTCCTGTCTATCTTTAATTGGTGGATCCTTGCCAGCAGCTGTGCAAGATATGCCCAAGTGATCAGGCGGGATGTGTGGCCGGCCATGTGTGGAAGACACCTGATGTAGCTCAAAGGATGGCCGTGATGCATGACAAGGTGAGCTGGCTGTTGACAACATGCAGTCATCCCTTCTACCAGGACATCCCCATCAGCAGCACAGCCGTGATATAGGTGCAATATTCATGGCTGCTTCACCTAGTGGAGGAGCTCTTCCATCCCTCATCTCTGTAGACAGTAAATACTAGCTGACTGGAGACAGTATGAGGTGGAGTAGCAGCTGGCTCCTACACCCCCACCACGGCCATATGACCACCTCAACTTGAGGCAAGTCAGCCATAAACAATAAACTTCCCCACTCATACACGACACACCCTTTCTCTCATGAAATGTTTTCATAAACATCTTCTTCGTACCTAACTATTGATAAAACAAGATAACTTTGTAAAGCATACTGTAAAAATCTAGTCGAAGTTCCAGAAGACGAAAGCACATAGTAAAACTTTCCAATTTTCTACATATATAATCTCCTTGTACCTGAGTGATGGTACACTACTAACGGGTCTGGAAGAAGCCTGTCACTGTCTACTGCAGTCTCCTGATGTGACAGCTACTGTCAGCCATATCATTCTGTGGCAGCAGCAGCAGCACCATCAATCACAACAAATCAATTGCCAAATATACCACCCTGACATACTGATGCAATACGTCTAGGGATGAGCAGGTTGTGCAACATTACCATGGCTGTGGGTTATTAATTACCGACAAGTCGTGAGAAAACTCTTCCGTGTACTGACCAATTGTCTTCAGAGCTGCCCCAGTTAACGTCAACCCAACGCTGCACGACCACAGGTCGGAATTATAGCTATTAATTATTTCTAAAGGCTCTTCATTAATCATAATAATAGATAAATAAATACATGATGTTCATTAACAGGACTTGGTTGCTGTAAACATGGCCACCACAGTCCTAAACCAGCATACAATCACTATCCAGATTCACTACACAACCACAATCAAAACCTTGTACCGTACCTTACTAAGAATACATGACTGCATACTGTAAAAGCACTTTCCTATTTTTTTAATCTATTTTCTGGCAATTTATTTTCTTCGATGGTTGACAAAATTAAGTCCCTAATGTTCACAATAGATTAATACTGTCTTGGTAATTTCTTCTGTGAATTACCCCAATACTGGACAATAATGCCCCAGCCCTCCACGCCAAGTACGGTTTGTTCCCATGAACAATGAATATACAGAACAAATATTTTTCTGTTTCCATCAAAAGCCTGACAAACAAAACCATGGCGTGCAAGCCATTATTGCTGATCAATACATTTTCTGCGTTAGTTGATCTAATGCCTGTAGAAGTAGACAGCCAACATTTACCTAGTTGATGCAGAAGGCATACATTAGCAGGGAAAACAGCACTGCTGCACCACCAATAAACAAGACGTGGATCAGAAACACTCCTCATTGTCCTTCTTTCTAAAAATATATAGTCAACATTATTTTGCAAAGACAAATATTTATTGATGATGGTGTGCACTATTACAATATTAAAATTACTTTCGTAATTGATTTTTTAAATTATAAAATGTATCTTTACGGGTTATTTCAAAGTCAAAAGTGCGGAGTAGAGTATTTTCACAGAACAACGTGCTAGGAACAGGCTTTCATCCACCAGGGTGAATGGACAGGGCTCACTTAGGCTTCTCTGCCATATAAGGATATGGGATCAGAACTGTAACCAATGAGAATGTAGCTCCTTGACCTATGACCTATAGAGGGGGATGAATGAAAGGTGGGTGCTTGAGGCAGCTGGAATAGGGGCGAGAGGAGGATGGGAGGGGAGAGAAAGGAAAAGGCTAGGGGGAGGGGGAGGGGGAGGAGGGTGCATCTGATTGGAGTCTTTGCAAATCCTTGCCAGGTTCCACAAGTGCTCAGTCTGTTCCATATCAAAACATCCCAAACATAACATTTACCCACAATCTTTACAACAACACCTTGGGATGTTGATGCTTGTCTACAAGAAATTAGTATTTTTACACAATAACGTACAACTAGCCATTCCTCTCAAGTATCTTTTTCAGTGTACATAAAGAAGTGTATTTCATTAATACTCATGTCTTTCAGTTAGACAAATGTCTTATTTCTAACATACATGCCTAAATAACGTTATTTTGCTATCTCAAAGAAACTTACGTAAATCTTTTTCATAAATCAGATTTTCAGCACCTCTACATTAGTATGCACTATGCTAGCTGTAAGCAGCCTCATGTTGACTATGAACACACATTATTTACACCTGGCAACTAATCTGGACACGGCTATTGCCTCCATTTTCTGCCTGAGTGAAGCTGGTAGTGGCTACTGGCTGGTTCCCAGGCCTGTGAAATCATCCCAGTCACAAAAGCCATTTAAGCTGCCAGTGGAGAGACATGTATCACTGCCTGTCTATTCTCCTCCTCTCACTACATAAAGGAATAAAACTGTCACCGGCAATCAACACATGGGCCAAATGCACCTGTTAATCATTTCCTTTATTGAAAATTCATTTGGTATCTAAACATAAATTTACAAATAATTTACAAATCAATGTTGAAAGTGAAATAAGACAAGCAAAATCGATAATAACGTACAACTCAAGTAATATCAAATAAACAAACCAGGTCTACCATTTCTAAAATGATGCAACGTTTCAAATGTTTTAATGTTCTACTGATGGCAGATTCATCAGTTATTCTTAGCTTAAAGCATGTCTTTATTCAGACCATGAGCACCTGTGCAACTGTGGCACACCTCATATCTCCAAACACCTTCACTATTTCGATTTTGTTTGTCCTCATCCCCACTAAAACAGGCGTACAAGTTTCACTGATACTCTAAGAAATGTCACAACACCCAACACCTAGGACATTCCCATGTATTCACACTGGTTTTTTTTATCAAGGCAATCAACAGAATCAGGAATTCTGAAGTTGAAATTTTCAATTTGTTATAAACTGAAAAATGGTTACCTTGTAACTGGTCATCCCATCCTACAAACTGAAATCCTTCGGACACCGATCATTCTCTTACTCCGCGCCTGTGCTTTGGAACTCTCTCCCATGTGCCCTTAAAAGCTCTGCCACAACTGACATTTTTAAGTCCAGACTTAAAACCCACCTTTTCTCAGTATATTATGTATAACTTCATCTGT